AAATGATTCACAGCACCACTTCTTCTACCTCTCACCCCTCATTTCAAATCTCTATGGTGTATGCTTCTAACTCTCCCAAGGATAAACTGTTGTTATGGGATATTAGGGTCTTGCTTATAGCATTTCCTAGCCTTAGATCATTATTGGAGACTTTAACAATTGCAAGTTCTCCTAAAAAAATATGGGGCTAACATTAATAGTAAGCTTTGGGCTCTTAATAGTATGATTTTGATTCTAGTCTCTCTCACCTTGCCTCGGATGGGTTATTTTATACTTGGTATAATCTGCAAGCTAAAAATCCTATACACATAAAATTGGACAAAGCTTTAGTTAATGTCTCTTGGCTTTAGACATTTCCTGGTTCTTTTTATAATATTGACTCACTTATAAGTTTAAATCACTCTCCCCTCATCTTCCAAGCTAACCCTGACCCTTTGACAAAGCACTGATTTATGATTAAAAATAATTGGATCAGGTGCCTAAGTTTTGGGATTCCCTCAAATTTCCTCTCTCAAAGAAATGCATCTGACCTAATCTCTTCATTTTACCTTAAACTCCACTACCTTAGAAGCCTCCTTATAACTCAAAATTGCTCCAAGTCCCATCTTTTGGCATCCTCCATTTCTAACCTTTAGAACCACCAATCATGGATCCTTCATTAATTGGATAGTGACTCGTTTGATGAGTTCTTGAACTCCTCCTTGAAGGTTACTCACCATTAGCTTGATCAGTGTCTTACCTCTTGGACCTCTTGGATGCAAAAAAGAGCTAAAGCTAAATTGCTCTCTAATGATGGATTTATTATTCTGTGTGGAGTGCGGAGGGCGTCCGGAGACCAATAAAAATGCGCCACGTAACCTCATTGGTGGGCACCCAGCTCGGTACCCACACTTGGTACCGTTGGGTACCCAGTGCTTAACTGGACGGTTCTCCCGTCTGGTGTCCGTACAGAATAAAAGCTTTAAATGATGAGGATGATCTTAAATTCTTGTATGTTAATCTGAAGGTCAAGTAAAATGTCAACAGGTTCAAAGGAATTACATCCCAAAATGGCATATTTTCCTCCACTGAAGTTGTGAATGAAATTATCCACCATTTTCTAGCCCTCTTCAATAACCCAACCCAGCCATAGTCTATTTCTTATATCCTTGGGTTCAAGAGTCTCCCATCCCATTATATTGCATCACTTATAGCCCCTGTTACTAAAGAGGAAATAAATTATATCATTTTTTTATCTCCTTCTCTGTTCATGGACCTAATGGGTTTACCTTTGAATTCTACAAAATCTCATGGGGCATCAGTAGTTATCACCTTTGCAAAGTCATTAAGCATTTTTTATACGTCCTTATTACCAAGGCATGCCAAAGCGATATCTTGCTCTTATCCCTAAATCATCTCATGCTAGCAACATTTTGGATTACAAGCTCGTCTCTCTTTGCAACACTTTTTATAAGTGATTACAAAAATTCTTGCCAAAGACCTTAAACCTTTCATGCCCTACATAATACATCCAACTCAAATTGGGTTTATACATGCTAGAATCTCTACTGGTAATATTATATTGGCTTATGATCTTTTATGGGAATTCGTTCCGTCTTTAAAATATAAGCTTTTTGTGCTAAATTGGGTATATTTACAGCATTTGATACTGTCTGTAGAGAATTTATAATGCTACCGATGCAATCAATGGTGCATGGAAGGCTTTTTTAATTTCATTAATGGCTTGAGATAAGGGTGCCCTCTATCCCCTTATTTTACATTATAAATTATTCTTTATCTAGTCTTTTAGAGCAAGTTACCAATAATCACACTTTCATTGACATTAATGTTGAGGGGCTCTAGATCAATCACCTCCTCTATACTGATGACCTTCTTATATTTGGTGAAGCAATTTCTCACAATGTGTCTAATCAATAGTATTTTAAGTACTTTGTTCCTGTTACTGGTATTCAAGTTAATAGCTCCAAAAGCTCCATCATAATATCACCGTTCATCCCCAACCCTCAGGAAATATATAGCCTTCTTAACTTGAACATGTGTGGCAATATTTTCAAGTATGTTGGCCTCCCTATATCACGCAAAAGGATTCAAATTACTGAATTTCAACCTCTATTACATATAATTACTACTCTTCTTGATGGTTGGAAGGCCAAACTATTATCCTTTGCGTACAGAATTCAATTTGTGAAGTTCTCTATTTTTAACACCATTGCTTATTGGATAAGGGGCTATATCATACCTAAGTGTTGTTTAAAATTTATAGACAAACTTCACTCCAAGTTTGTTTACCATGGTGACTTACAAACCAAGAAAATTCATCTTATCTCTTGCCGAAATGTCTTGGGGGACTTGGCGTTCCTAGCATTTATGCTCTTCAGTATGTATTTTGCTGCTCCTTAATCTGGCGATTATTTAAGTCTGAGAATCTATTGGCCAGCTGGTGTAAAGTTAAATACCTCTTGCCTTTGAAACCCTTCACCTCTAAAGCCTACCCATTCTGGAAAAAAAAAATTATGAAGTGGCCAAGGAAAGTTGAATTTCTCATTTATTATTTCCCCAGCAAGTAATATTTCCCTTTACTGGGATCCTTGTTGCAATGGTAAAGCTCTTTGGGAACTAATAGATACTTCTGTTCTTTTGTATATATTTCCTTCTTGCTCTACGAATGGTTTTATCATAAGCAACTTAAGCTGGGATCTTCCCCAAGCACTCCCCTCTCACATCCAACAAACTATTGCTGCTATTCAAATTCAGTCTGAAACTTCTTGCATCACTTGGCGGGATCAGATGGACCTTCAATATATAAAGTGTTTTTATCGGACTTCTATAAGTATCATCATCATGTCCCCTAGTTTAAATTAACCTGGCACAAAACCATGCACTTAGGTACTCTTCCTTTTCTTGGCTCTCATTACTTTGGGGTTTAAAGACAATTGACGTCATTATTAAATGCAATTCCTTGTTAATACCACTTGCTTTTTCTGTTTCGATGCCGTAGAAATGATGTCACATTTACTTTTTGAATGCGACTTTATATTTAACATACTCTCTACTACTATTTTTACCTGGGTAAATTTTTTTCTCATGAGGCCTAATCTTTAGCAGCTGCTCCACCACATCTCTTAGATGCCTGGGTTAAGTTCTGTTTGCAAAAACCTTTACTTACTACTTTCTTATTGTTTAGTTTATCATCTATGGAGAGAGCCAAATGAAAAGAAATTTGGTTCTAACTTACTTTCTCCTCCACCATATATTGCAAAATCGAGAAAACGATGTCTCTTAAAACTAGCTCACGGAAGAAATTCGATGAAATCAGGCACCTATTACTTTAAATTTCACCTGGTGGCCCTCTTTCTGAGCATCGAGCTTATTCATTTTTATTTCTGGTCAGAATTTGTTGCTTCAGTAACTAAATTTTCGTTCAGCTCCTTCGTTTTCTACTGCTTGGGGTTCATTGTATTTAGATTGAGATCATTTTGCTGGCCTTCTGGACATTGATAAATACATCCCTACCTCCCAGTATATGCTCCCCTTGGATGGTCGCAATGGCAACCTCGAGAGTTCAACTCTATTGATTGGAATATAATTTTGGCTGTATTTTTGTAAATTTTGAGTCTCAATGTCTCTAATATTTTGGATTTCTGAATTGTCTCTTTGTTCTTTAGTCTTCTTTTTGAGCTTTGCTATCTTTTTGTTGCAGCTCATTGATGCTCTTTTTTATTTTTGGGCTGTAAATTCTATTTTTCTATAATGGAAATGGGCTATGCCCCAAATTTTACTAAAAAAAAAAAACCTTTTTTTCTTCTCTCATTGGCATCATGTAATTGACTTCTTCTTACAATTAGCTGCTTCTGATGGTTGAGTGTCTAGAAATTATTATTACTGATCTTCCACTAATATGAATATATATATATATATATATATATAATGTCACTTGTTATTCTTGATAAAGTAAGTCTTAATCATACAAATAGTACTTACAATTCTTCACAAATTAAGATTTTAATTGGGTTATTTTTTAACTGTTTTCTAAAACAGTTTTTTAATATAAAATTTTTGCATTAGAGAATTGTTTTAAAAAATAATAAAAAATTATCCCAAAAAAAACTAAAGCCTATCCGTTCATATCTACAACCCTCCATTTTGCCGCAACCATTCTTTTTCCCGCTATTGCATAGATACGCATTACTACCCCAAACTGCCATGGGAAAAATATTAGGTCCGGTCACCGGAGGTAGAGATACGTCCGGACACCAATAAAATATTGACATGTAAAATGTACACGTGTCCGCGGAATTTTAATTCAAATGCGTCAAAAGCGTAGATAAAGTGCAGGTAAAGCGCAATCAAAAAGCGCAGTCAAAGTGCAGGTAAAGCGCAGTCAAAGCGCACATAAAACACAGTTATAATGCGGTCAAAGTGCAGTCCACGTAGCAAGTTTTAATTGATGTCCGGACCTATTTTTAGGTCCGGTGACCGGAAGTAATAATTTTTCAACTGCCCTGAGCCTAGCAACTCCTGCTCCCATTTCAGTGTGAACTCGCCATGCTCCCATTTCAGAGAGAAAAATTGGTGCGAGTTGGAAAGAACTTTGATGTCTCCCTCTCGTGATGTTTTTCCTCGTGGAGATCCCAAAGCCTTGCTGTAGCTACTCATGGGGCTTGTTTGGGACAAGTTCACTCTGTAGCGTTTGAGATAAGTAACGCTTCTATTTTTTATCCCTTCCCCAACTGCTATATTTAAGTAACACTTTTACATCTTTATTCTCTTCCCTAACTGCCATATTTGATTTGAATGTATCATAAAAATATATAAAAATTTGTCATTTAATTTCTGCTCTATATGAGTTTCGTCTTTCCTGTATTAAATTAAATTTTTTAATAATTTGTATATTTTCTGCTGTTGAAATTTTTTTAAAATACAAATGATGAGTAAGGTTCCAGTATATTTTAGAAGACGAAGTGCTCGAGAAACATGGTTACCATTAAATTATTATTTGCACGAAAAACTCCTATTCGCCTTCTTTAATGTACACAGAGCCGAAATCCTCGAAGCCTCTGCCCGCTTCTTCCTCAACCTCTGATCCACCCCCAACTCTTCTTGACCTCCTCTCTCAAGCTTTGTTTGAGACGACTTTTTTGATGCTTCTTAAAGCAACTTTTTAGTATCAAAATTAAATTTTTTGTACTAAAAAGTTGCTTTAAAAAATAATAAAAAAACTGTTCCAAATGAACCCTCAGTTCGCAAGCCCTAACTGCAACACACTCCAACCTGCTTTTTTCCCCATCTCGTCTCTAGCAGCTGGCCTCAAGCCCAACAGCCGAAACTCCACCAAAATCATCTCACACTCTCACATCATCTCAAAAAAAAAGTCCGAGTTTTCTTTCTATTAGCATTAATCATTAATGTTAAAGGATGTATTTATTATTGTTCATATTCTTATTAATTAGTGTTATTAATTATTATTATTATTTTTAATTATATTTATATATATGTATACATGCAAAAAAAAGAAAGGCATGTATATATGTTGTTCGACATCGGGGAATAGAGATCGACCCCAATAAAATCAAGGAGATTATAGAGATGTAACCCCACTCAAGAACCTCCATCAACATCACTCATTATATGCACATTTGGATTTCATACAGTGATTCATATCAAATAAGTCAGGTAGGTGTTAACCATTCTCTAAACTAATGAGGAAAATGTCCACTTCAAATGAGACTCAATATTGGGAAGCTTTTAATAGTATCAAGAGATACATATTAAATACTTTCATTATCACAACGCTAATACTAAGAAAGCCTCTTATACTGTACATGGCAGTATAAGAAGAGTCACTCGAAGCATTATTGACCGAACAAAAAAATACACTATTACATCAATCGGACGTTGATCAGAGTAGAAATATGTTATTCTCTGATTAAAAAACATTGTCTAGTGTTTATTTTTGCAGTTCAGAAACTACGTCATTACATGCTTTCTCATAAAATTATGTTGATATCAAAGATCGATCCACTGAAGTTCTTCATGTCAAGACCATCATTGAGAGATCCCCAAGCCAGGTGGGTAGTGATACTAATGTAGTTTCATATTATATACATACCACAAAAGGCGGCAAAGGGATAGGTTTAGGCAGATTTTCTTGTGTCACATTCAATCCCCACAGATTCTCCTCTCAACGATAATTTGCCTGATGAACTAATTATGCTGGTCAAAGAAAAGTATTGAAATTAATATTTAATCATGTGTTTAGTACAAATTTATAAGTTTATTGTGTCGAGGTTATGCTATATAATTCACCTTGGTTTGTTCGTTGGGAGCTTAGGCTACCAACTAAGTGGTCTTATGTTTGAGTCTTGTGTATGTGATGTGTATGTGAGTCTGCCTTAATTGACCTAAATGTCCAAAAAAATAAAATATAAAAAAAATGCAGGTCAAAGAAAGAATAAATTACAAGTCTAAGAGATATATTTCGATGGAGCATCATCAATTAAACCTGTCAAGCCTCCAAATATGGTAAAAGCTCGATTTGGCATCGGTCTCATCTTTATAGCACTTGAAGAGGGCATAACTGAGATTTTTGTTCTATTTGACCAAACCCTGAACCAATAATGAGACTGAATGTGAGGCCCTAATTGCAGGTCTAGAGATTACTATTTTGATTAGAATTCAGAATCTTCAGATCTATAATGACTCTCAGCTTGTCATAAATCAAGTTCTCGGCATCTATAGGATTTATAAACTAGAATTTGCCCATTATCGCTAACGAGCTCTCAAACTTTTGAAATAAGTTTTAAATGCTAAGATAGCTCGAGTTACTCAAGGTCAGAACATCAAAGCAGATTGCCTGACCAAATTAGTTAAGGAGATGGTGAGTACTAACGACGAGTGGTATATACTAATTAGATTCTATACTCGTCGGGTCCTAGAGGCAGCACTGTTACAATTTCAGCATGCAAAAGAAATATCATATTTAATCTAGCAAAATACAACTCTGGTTAATCCTCAACCTCCCTAACAAAGCATTACTAATAATCAACCAGAAAAATGTCATGTAGTCAAAAGACGTAAATCCAGTAGATGCTCGGATTCATAGTTTCATTGTTTAGAAATTAAAGAATGAGAGGAATTGAGACAACCATTTATCAACTATTTAAAGAAAGTAAACTCTTGGAAGATAAAACTCTAGCTGTGTAAGCTTGGAATAGAGCATTGCGATACGCGTTTGTCAACCACACATTGTATTAACGAGCTTTTGACTAAATATGGCTAAATGCCTAGGGACCAAAGAAGCTGATAGAGTGGTAGAAGAAGTCCATGAAGGAGCTTGTGGAACACATCAGTCAGGTCCTAGAATAAACACTAAAATTAAGAGGATGGATTACTATTGGCCCTCAATGGTGACAGAGTGTGTTGACCACGCTAAGAGGTTCAACAAGTATCAGATTCAAGGTAATGTTATACATCAACTGTCAAATCCACTGCACCCTACAGTAGCGTCTTGACCATTTAAATATTATGACACATATAATCAAGCCAATAGACCCACAATCAACGATTGTATACCGCTTTATACTGTGGCAACTGATTACTTTTTTAAGTGGACAGAAGCAGCTCCGTTCAAAGAAGTCATGTCCGAGCATGAGATTAACTTATTCACCTATAATGTTGTGTATAGATTTGGTGTATTGCGTTGTATAATCTCAGACAACGACATAGTATTTAAGACGCCAAAATTTGTAACTTCGTCGATCAACATAAATCAATATACAACCTAAGGAAAAATGACTTGGCTGATGCCTTCAACAAAATGTTGGTGAAGTTGTTGAAGAAGATTCTCATCAAGAACAAAAAAGAGTGGCACACTAAGATGGAAGAAGTACTGTGGGCATACGGTACAACCTATACGACATTAACCAAATCAACTCCATATGCACTTGTGTTCGGGTCGAAGTAGTGCTACCACTAGAGATTGAGTTGTCGTCACTTCAGGTAGCTGTCCAATATGATCTCACTCAAGAAAAAAATGCATGCATGAGAATGGAAGAGCTTGGCACTCTCAATGAAATCAGACTGCATGCTCAATAAAACCTATACATATATCGAGCAAGAATGAAGAATTCTATTGATCAAATAGTGTGTCATCGAGCATTTCAAGAAGGATAATTGATCATGGTACTAAGAAGGCCAATTATCTCACACCAAAAAATCAGTGGCAAGTTCATGTATAATTGGGAAGACCCTTTCGTTGTTGAGAAGGCGTACTTAAAAGGAGCCTATCAACTTAAAAATTTGCATGATCAGAGGTCCATACCACCAATCAACAATCAATACCTAAAGAAGTATCTCACTGGCAAATGTATATTTTATATTTTGAAATTCTCTTGTGTTGTAAGAATGCATTTCAAAATCCCTATTAGACTAGGGTCATTATAAATATCTATTTAAATCGACATCGCACCGCATGCCATAATTCCTAAATAAATATTTAAACTCTCAAAATATAAAATTTATCTTAAATCTCCATATGAGATAGGGGCATTTTTAATATTTATTTGGGTTGACATTGTGCTACATGTTGAGATCTCAAAATAAATATTTATAATCTCAAAATGCCAAATTTATCTTATTTAAAATCCTCCTATAATATATGGGATATTTTAAATATTTATTTTGATCGATATCGTGCTATGCGCCAAGATCCTCAAATAAATATTTAAA